GAAAATAAATCTGAGCTAGGTGCCAGAGTCCCCCGCCCATCCAGTTCCAGCCTCCCCCCATCGTCGTTCCTCAATCTACTGTACCCAAGTATTGCATGGTAGCCCACCACTTCGCATACATGCACACCATTTTATGCAAACTTCCACGCCCCCCTTGAAGGATATCCACTGCATCACAGTCTCTGGTCTGCATTGCATGCATATCTGCCGTCTTTTCAAGTTTCTCCCCCAGATATCTCGTATCACTTGTAATAAATTACGACTGTTTTCCGTCCCGCACCACACAGCCAGTCTGCTTGCGCCCACCCACCTTTAGCCTAGTCAGCCGAAGCAGTTACCGTATCCAACCTCCCCCTCCCCCCCTCTCCCCCCTATATCTATTACCCACCAGGGATACCGGTATTGCCAAGGTCACAGCCACCCACCCCGCTACCATTAACACCACCACCATTCCCACAATCGCAGCCGTCCGTCTCTCTTTCCCAAAAATACCACTGGTACGGTATTCATTACCAACATCACCACTCTGGCCTGCTTAAGCCCAACTACAAATCTAACTTTGGGAGTATTGGGTGGACTATTCCTCCACCCGCTACTTCACAGCATCATCGACAGTGCAGCAGCGGCAGCAGCACCTGGAGGAGCACAACAACGGCCAATCCCAGGTCTCTCGTCGTCGTCGACTCCCGGGGCTGAGAGTCAACGGGGGTTGGCAACGCAGGAGATGTCCTTCCTGACCCTCTTCACAGCAGACGCGGCAGCAGCACACGGGCACGAGTTCTCGGGAAATGGCGATACGAATTCAACGACAAATGGAACCACGAATTCGGTGGTTCGGGCATCCGCTTCGTCGGGGTCGTTGGGGCGTAGTGGGAGTGTGGGTGGAGGGGTTCAACCACGATCGACCATATCCTCCAACGTATCCACTGTATTTGAGGACCCGCTACCGACTCCTCCACCTGTGATACCGAGAAAGTCACCGCGTACGAAGACGACGTACCACCTGGCGCAACCACCACCCAGTGCGCATTTGCTGCTGCACAGGCACTCGTTGAAGCCATCGAGGAATTTGGTGGTGCAGTTGCAACGTCTCTCGAACACCACCAGGCCGGTGCCGACACTGGATGTGCTCCCTGCCTCGATTTTTGCGTCGAGGTTGAAGGCTACTTGCGGCCGCTTTTTCAAGCACGGTGTGGGAAGCCAGGACCTTGTGTTTTTGGCGAGCGAGGAGTACGGTGGTGGAGACGAGGATGATGATGATGCGGATGAGGATGAATCGAATGGGCTCAATGCGCGGCACGTGGTGGCCACGGTTTCGCAAAACTACAGGAAGGCACCGCTGGCGGCTGGGGAGGATGGAAAAGGGGGGAACGGTGGAATGGCTAGGGTCCCGGCAATACGACTAGACTCTGGTCCGCCATGGGAGGTTACGCAGACCGCTTCTGGAGGCTACGAGTTCTCGGCATATCAGGAGGACGGCAGCGTGGTGACGGCGAGGTGGAACCCTAGAGGTGTAGGCACTCCTGCGGGTAGACGCCGTTCATCCCAGACACGGAGCGGCAATTCCGAGGACAGCATGACAGAACGGAAATTCCAATTCAGCCTCGTGAATCCCGGTTCCCGAAAGCATCCGATCATTGCTACACTGGTTAGGCAGACTATCGAGATCAACGACCATTATCCCGCCGCGAGCTTAACCTCCCCGGTGACGACACCCACCCACTCCCGCTCCTCATCTCCAGTGCACGATGCCCCATCATCCCCAAGCTCGGAAGAGCGCTTGTACATCAAGACGTCAGACTACATCCGCATGTTCACCCTAGCTTCAGGCATCTGGGTCGCCCTCCGAGAAGGTCTAGCATCAAGCGGCAACCTCCACTTGGACGACGCCGCCCCATTATCCCCAGCCCCCACCCCAGCCGGTCGCCTCTCCACAGATCCAACAACCGCGGCTTCCTCCCCCTCCTCCACCCCCTCCTCCGCCGCCAACCGCCCACGCACAACCGGCCGCTCCTCCTCATGTCCTGTAGGCCCCGACGTGTCATTTGACGTAACCCCGCGTAGCCGGCTAATGCGCTCAGGCACAATGCATACCCACCCGTCGGCAACCTCCACAAAACACACTCCAGGCCCGGATGACGGCCATACCCAAACCCCATCACCCCCGAGGCGCTCCTTCTCAATGGGGCCCTCAACAAAATCACGATCAGTCACAACTTCACACATCCTCCGGAACCTCTCTAGCAGCTCCAGAACGCCAAGCCCAACCCCCCGCGCAAACGCGACTGACCCGACGACTATACGCCCGAAATCACCCCCAACACCGCCGCATCGAGTCCCAGACCAGCCGCTCACACCGCCAACCAGTGGCTGCATGCACATGCACCGCCCCCGCCGCGGCACCCATCATCACAGACACACGAACTCTGCCAGTCCACCGGGCTCGCCGGCGAAGTATCCCGAAGAGAAGCGGCGGAGACATTGTAGGAGAGGTGGTGCAAATAAGGATTCGGCACCGGTGGATGCGCACTGGGAATGGAAGCGGAGAAAGAAGGAGGTGCAGGGGGGTGGGGCAGATGGTCCTGTGGTGGGGGGTAGTAGTGGGGTGGCGGGAGGGAAGAAGAGGGGAAGGATTAGGGGGTTTGTAGATATGTTAAGGAGGGCTACGAGTTCTAAGGAATGAATTCCCATGCTCCAATCTCTCCTTATTAGTCTTTTTTTTTTTTTTGCTTTATTACTGCTTGGTAATGATTATGAGGTTGGGATACAGGAGTGGTTCTTTTCCTTTCTTTTCTCTACTCGTTGGTTTATTTCGGGCAGGTTTCCTTTTTTTTTTTCGTCTTTTAAAGTATTTTTTGATATCATGTTCGTGATGGTTTGTGCGAGTGCGGTCCCTTTGCCCCGTCACTCGACTCGGCAGATCTCCCTTAGTAAGTATGTACTGCTCACATACGTTTCCCTTGTCCATAATACGCTACATTATTATACCCCTTTATCTCAATTCTTGTGTTTATTTTAATTCTCATGTCTATTACCGACACCGCCGTCCTGTAAATACTCTTGTTCCATCAACTCATCTCTACAATACCAAGAGCCGTTGCCGCTGCTCATTTACTCGTCACCAACACAAGCATAATAATACCCCGTGATAAATACAGACGGCGTATGCCCGACCACAGCAGTCATACGCTACCTTAGTTTACTGCACAAGTACGGGTTGCGGTACTGTACCGGTACCACCCCAACGACCAATCCACATCCTTACCCGCAGTAAGGGTACAAAAGTGCTACTAACCCCGTACTGTACACGTACTTGTACTCGTACACTGTAGTAAAGTATCGTAACGATAACCTACCACCACCCCATCCCTCTCCCGTCTCGCGGTGTCATGACCTGGAACGTATAGTACAGCACTTTCGCCGGTACGATGCTCTTTTAGCCAGAAGCAGCGAGTACCATACCGGTGCACTGCCAAGGACGAACGATTACGGTGATAAAGTGACTAAGCAAAAGTCTTGATGATCGGGGCAAATTTGCACCAAAAATCGTCATTTTGGAGGGTTTTTAAAGAGGTTTCCAGACTGATTCTATGTGGAATACCTACCAAAAGCCATCCAAGTTGTCACATACACATGTAGAGATAATCCTCCAGCTGTTTACAGAGTCTCTAGACACTTTCCTATTGTGTAGCAGCAAAATTTAAGGTGGGAACATTGTTGAAGGAGGGGTTGCTGGGGCAATTATCGGTGATAATGGTGACTTTTAAGCGATGATAGAACTTTACAAGCTTGCAGGGCCTTCAGTTGATAATGGATATGCTTCAAATTAATCATGAGATATTGCAGAGATAAAGTGACTTTAAATCAGGAATTTAGGGAAAAGGAGCTCCAGTTTTCAAAGAAATACCGGTGATTGAAAAGGGAGGGTTTTGGCTATTTTTGGTGGGGAAATGGGGCGATCACCAAGACTTTTGCTTAGTCACTTTAACAATGCAACATTTCCCGTATGATAACTATTATCCCCGACCCAAGGCTGCTCGGTCGCTGCCTTGTCAAGCAGGGTCCGGGTAATGTGTGATATCATACCTCCGATGTCAGAAGGCGGCTTTTTTTTCTTTCTTTTTCCTTCCAGAGTTAGTTTTTGTATCGCGGTCATGCGGCGTCACTCGTGCTCTATGGACTTGATTGTGTTGTGTTGTGTTCTGTTGAAGGTTTTCTTTGTTGTTCGATTATTGGTTTTTCTTTTTTCTTCTTTGTCTTTGCGTTTTCTTTCTCTCCCTTGTTACCGCTTCGGCTTCGGCGGGTTCAGGCTTGGATAGTAAGAAGGTTATATATGTGGTAGTTCTCCACGTTGTATTCTGTCGAGTCGATCAATTCCGCTGCAGTCATCTGCGGTATTCACCTTGCGAGCAGTAGGTCCAGTGATGCTGGTATTGTCGGGGTTATTGGTAGGTATTCTGATCGTTGCGGGAATTCAGGCACGCTGCGAGTTACTCGCTGCCGTCGCGGGATATACACGAGGGCGGGTCGGATATCGATACGGCGATGGTGTACAAAGAACCTAGCGAGCCGGTGCTGGAAGGTCGATATCGGGTCTGGCTGGGAAGAGGTGATCGGGAAAGGTAAAGGTAAGAGATCTGTGGGGGTTTGCGTAAATAAGGAACAAAGGGTGAGGGGGAAAAAATAAAAATAAAAATAAAAGCAAATGATCAACGTCGGTGGTGCGAAGCTAGCTAGACTGGCAGTCCTTTGGCTAATTTCTCCCGCTTGCTCGTCTGTACGGTATCATCGTTTGTGATTCGTAGTGTTCAATCGCAGTTCTCAGAGATAAGAGGGAAGAGAGGTCTCTGATATACACTTCTAAAATGCTCGTCCCCCCCAACTCTGAAAAAAAAAAAAAAAAAAAAAAAAAGATTTCCGCGGAACAGTCCACACCCCAAATCTAACTTAACCTAATAACTAAAACCCAGAATATACTCAAGTCGCCGGATCGATGATGCGTTTCCTGATATGGATAGTGGGGTGGCGATGGGGTGTTCGAAGTAATTATGTAATTGGTGAAGCAAGATTTTCACAGTATCAGATCTACATTTGCCAGACTGTGGCCGAATGATATTCTGTTGCAGTGTAGTGAAAACACAACATGTCGTAATGCTTATCCAATATCATGTACTACTACTCTATTGCTCTTTGCTCGATCCAGTACAATTTGAAATGCTTCCTCAAGTTATCTCCTGGTTTCATGAGATCTGACAAAATTTCTCTCATGCATTAGCGTGAAAGGTTTAACTCCGTTTGGCTAGATAGTCACATGGTCCATTATATGAAATGTTTCTCATATACTGAGCAAGCCTCTAAAACTGTGTCCGATCATGATACCAATTATTTCCACTATCAGCTCTTCGCACCCACTATTGCATCTGCTATAAAGGCACCAAGCAAACATGTTCAAAAGCCTCTGAATGATGACTCCAATTTCGAAAAATCTACCAAGAGGAGGAAAGAAGAGGATCCTTCACTTGCGGCTACATCAAATTCGATTACAGCTTCATCAGAAACGTTTAGGCCCATGGAGTACTATGAGTATTAAAGCACTTCCTGGATGCCAGACGAAACAGCATTATCAACCCTCACCTATTTTGCTCTGTTTTGGGATGATTAGATTATCGACCAATTGGTACAGGCGACCAATGCTTATGCCGGAAAGAAGCAGCCAAGTAAGTGACAGTGGCCTCATAGCATGAATAGGGGAGAGCTTCGGAGGTTTCTTGGAACGACTCTCATGATGGGAGTAGCTCGCCTACTGAACCGCCGGCAATATTAGGCCTATAAAATCTTTACAGGTCCCACACTCAGCTATACTCGATACTTGCAAATAAAGTGGTATTTGCATGTCGCCATTCCTGAGGAAACTATCAATCAACAGACAAAGACAACTGAGTGGTGGAAGAAGCTAGAGCCACTTAATACACATTTGTGGATTTGGAGTCAAGCTTACCTGCTACTAAGTACTAATGTCTCAATTGATAAGATGATGGTACTTTTTGGTGGCTGGAGTCAACATACTGTACGGATGCCAAAAAAGCCCATCTCCGTTGACTATAAAGTCTGAGCAATCTGCAGTGGTAGTGGGTAGGTACATGAGACTAAATATTTGGGAACATTAAAATTGTCCAAATAGGTTCCTAAGTAAAATTACTTTAGAGAGAGTAGCTAATTGGATATCTGAATAGGTATGCTATTGATTGGCTCTTGACTTCACGTACGAAGTCATTCGCACAGCTTGTTCGACAACCAGACCTCTCACCAACATGCTCTGCTGTTCTACAGCGTTGCAACTGCCTTGCTGTCAGCAGATAGGACTGCATTGTATATATGGATAATGGCTTTGCGATCATGCCTCTATTTTGTCGCCTTAGAGAAAAAGGTATTGGTGCTTGTGGGACTACGAGAATCAATAGTGCTCAGTACCCACAAGCCTTCAAGTTTAATAAGGGACTTGGTAAATGGAATAGTATCGATGGATATGTAATAGGCATTTCACATGTTTTATGTCTGAGATGGATGGACAACAATCTTGTCAGAATGCTTAGATGGTTCACAAGCTACATGAAGTAACACTGGCCAAACGCTGAAAACCACGAACTACTAGCACAAACGCTACTATTGTCCAGAAAGCCTTTGGAAATAAAGAGCGTATGAGCTGCTATATTCCCACCATGATTGATGACTATAATTATCATATGAATGGAGTTGACCTAGCAGATTAGTGCCGTGCAGCTTATACAATATATTAGCGAACATGACGGAATTGGCTTGCCCTTTTTTTCTTTCTTTTAGACCTCTCAGTGACAAATTCCTACCTACTATTCTACATGGACTGGAATAAGAAGTTTAATCAAATAATTGACTCTATGAAATTGGAGGGTCTGGAGATACTTTCACATCTATTAAGTAAATCCTATTCTTCTGAGCTCTTTCAATGCAGCCTATTGCAGGAACTTTACCATGCGAGTAGGATACCTCATTAGCAGATTCAACAAAAAAGATATTACAAGAAAAAGACCCAACGATCCTACTTTACAAAATACAGTAACCTGACCTCCAGTATGGACAGTGTGGTGGTAGAAGGCACACAACATAGAGAGCATAAGTTGCAGCAACTACCGAAGCTGTATGAGTGTGTTATCTGCAGATTGAATTTCCGAAGCCTGAGAGGTGAGAGGGATGGTTACTGAAGGCCTAAACTGACTGGTTTTGAGTGTCTGGAATGCTCACCAGAAACTGGGCTGTGTAAAGATGGTTCCTGTTTTACTTAGTGGCATAGCTGGCCCCAAGATTGACAGCCTTCTTTGTTGCCTGGACCCACTTCCCACCTGCACAGAGACTGATTGGTGGATTTAGTAGAAAAAGAGTTAAAAGTTCCTTATTTAAGTTTAGCTACCCAGGTCGGCAAGTGTCTAGGCAGCCTGGGAGATCATCTATTGTGTAGTTTGAGTTGTGAGATAATGGGATTGCTTTTAGGACAGGCAGTTGGGCATTTGTGTAAATACACAGGTATGGAGATATGGTAGTTTGACTACATCTGGATATGTAGATATATAAATCTATGGATATGTGGGGTTGTGGACATGTGGGTATGGGTCTATTGATATATGGCAATCATGATATAAATCGTGATCTTTAAAAATCTGATATTTCAGGTTAGGCGCCATGTGACTACCCAGTCATAACAGGTTAAATCTCCAGTGCTAATGCATGAGAGAGATTTTGTCAGATCTCATGAAACCAGGAGATAGGATTAAGATCAGCTCTGAGGATTCCAGTTCTTATGTGGGCGGTAGTCGTAGGCCTGCATTGGCATTGAAATTTGACTTTCAGGTAAATCGAGCAGAAAGTAGGGGTAAAGGAATGTACAGCAAGTGAGCTCATTAAGAGGACAAAGGTATGAAATTACAAGAGTTCCCCTGACATTACAATTGAAGGTTATAGTTCCAAGGTTCTGAAAGTTAAAGTTTCCAAGCTAATATGTAAATTAATTAATCCTAGATAAGAGCGGCAGATTCAAAAGAGTTAGATGATATATTAGAATGCTTAGACGATAAGCATG